CAGTGGAGAACTAGATAACAAAGATAATATTTTACAAAAACAGGATTAATATATTAATGTTATTAGCTCCATATCTTAAGTGGGATTGCGATTAAGTGGGGATAATTTTTTCAAATATTTAAGTGACACCAGGACAGTAATACCTGCAATTGACGTTATACGAATACGGTGCTGTTATCTGGAATCCTTACGAAGAGAAAAACGTTCTAATGATTGAAAAAATACAACGTAAATTTGCTCGATGGATATATAAGAAACAGTACGGATACTATCCCTACTTATACCCTTCCTTATTCGTGTCTGGTATGGTGGACATTGAAACGTTGATATTTAGAAGGGCAATGTCTCAAGTCATGCAATATCTGTCCATAATTCACAATATGATTGATAGTCCCCAAATACTAGAGCGTGTCCGCATCTTGGTCCCTGGGAACGTGTCAGCAAACTCGCAGGGACAGGTGGCGCCGCGGCGCCGCCCGCGACTGCTGGAGCCCCCCCGCGCATGTACCGAGCGCGCTCGTCAAGCGCCCACCAACCGCGTACTCCGCATTATTGGGGAAATACTTGCACAGCACCACGAGCTAGACTTATTTGCCGATGAATACATTTGTATAAAGAAATTCAAATAATTTTAAATGAATTCTAGCCATCACCAACTTACATATATTGTTTTCATCATTAATTATTATAATTGCTATTTTGCTATATTACTATTTTATTTTAATATTAATGTTATTTATGGACTCAGATTGTATTTTTTATGATTTATTTTCTCTATGATATTATTGATGTATTTTTAATTAGGATATTGTATTGGAATGCTCACATACTTCATCTTCTCTATAGTATTCTCTTTAATCCTTCTTACCTCAAGAATCGTTTTGAGTTTCTTCGTGATTCCCATTCGCGTAACCTAAGATCAGCAGAGAGCTTGAAATTGTATATGCCACTACACACTAGTAAATTTATGAACAAATCTTTTACTGTACAGGCCGTTCGTTTATGGAATGAACTCCCACTGGCAGTCAAACGCGCTCCATCCCTACCAGTTTTTAAAAAAAACTAGTAAAGAACCATTACCTTGCACTTCGCTCCCACACTAGCCATTTAATATTTAATATAATATAATATATATGTAGTATATTGATTGCATTTAGTTAAATGATTAAATATATATATATATATATATATGTATGTATATATGTATGTATGTATGTATGTGTGTGTATGTGTATATATATATATGTGTGTATATGTGTATATATGTATATGTATGTATATATATTTATTTATATAAAATATGTATTCTTTTTTATCACACCAATGTGCTCTACCTTTGTCATTTCTGTGTAATCTTGTCCATTCACTGGTTGTCCGGAATAAATTGCTATCAGCAATAAGACCGCCCATTGCATACTTCTTTTGTATATATTATTAGTAATTTTTATATATGGTGTGCAATAAAGAATATTAAATAAAAAAAATTGTAAAATAATTTTGTTATTACCTATATAATGACGAGGATGTGTAATACCGAATTGTTAATCTAATAAGCGTTTTGGATGTGTCGTCTGTTAGCTTGTAAGATGAAATTAAATAAATAAATAAATAAAGGAGATGTAGCCTTCTTTTGCATAGTGCATTTTTAACTAACAGAATAGAATACAATTATACTAATTTTCTATGTACTTTAAATCGTAATTGGCGAGAATAATACTTTTATTAATAGACAGTCTCCAACCAACCAGCCTTTATTATAATTTACTAGTGATGATAATCATTAGGTACCCCAATCAATTCCTTCTTTAACCTCTCACATGTGTTTTATACATGGTGTGACTTTTAAATTGGGCAGTGTGGCAGGACTTAAATCATAATGTTACTGGAAACTAATTTAGGTATAATTTTTTTTGGTGTAAAAAATTTATGTAACACAAAAAAGTAAATAAAATTAAATTGCTAAACATTTTGGGGGTTTGTGAAAATAAAATAATCACCGTCGTGAATGTGAGCAATCCTTTGATAAATTATTTGTCTACTAAGATATCTCTGAATGTGTTACGTCCACACTTAATAATTCTGAAGAAATATAATATACTTTAAAATTCAGTAGAATAATTTGGAATATAAATAATATATTACTATATTGTATTATCATTCTCTAGGTACGACAAATTAAAAGTAAAACCGAAGAATTTTTCCTTTAGATTTAGAGTCCCCGCAGGCTACAAACTCTACGGCGGCTGACCGCTAAGACTTACTTACTTATTTAACGGTCAGCCGCCGAAGAGTCTACATCACCTGAAGATGTCTCGTGTAGAGGCGAAACATGTGTCGTACTATCATCGATGGTGTGTCTTTTCTAGAAGAGTGGTGTTGAGAGTAGTGGTGTTGGGAGTGGGTGCTCTTCAAACTAGGTAAGACGCATCATTTCATTTAATTGAGCGGATGGTTGCAAAATAACTATTAATATCTTTATTATAATGGATTTCAGCAAAGTAACGCCTAATTCTATCAATTACCTTAAAAGTATTTATTAATTTGCAAGTCAGCTTTGCATATAAATGGTACTCACATTTTATACAATATTATTGTTTACAAAATCTGAAAACTAAATAAAGGGTTATTACTTTTTATAGTATTAAACGTGGACCGACTAGAGTTGGACTATTTCCTATAAAGTATAGGTGATAAACAAGCACACAGTCCAAGTGATGGTAAATGGATGCTGTAGCTCATATACATCTACATTTATTCTCAATTAAGAATCGAAATGCAGGTGCGTAGTCATTCGTGAGGACTAAGATGGAATGCCTTGCTACCAGTAAAAGGGGTCTCCGATTCTTTACACTTAAAATATATAATAGAGCAGTAAATTGTCATTTTACGCTGGTATTATATCTACAACTTACATAATTTTTATCACTTTTTGGATATACTTTTTGTGCAAAGATTACTGACTTATCATTTCAGTTAAAAAATACCTATACCGTTAGGATTTTCAAATTTCCTGTATTATGGAGGCGACTTGTAGGCCTTTATTATTTACTATTGATTTCTAATGTAATTTGTTTCGTGCAGAATTCGAACCTGTGGCCTACAGCGCCACAGGTTCATTCAAATTATCTATATTATATAATAAAGTTCATCAGACTATTTGCTTATAAGCTGCTGAGCACTAAGCCGTCGAACCTTTTCTAAAACAAGGCATTGGTTATTAAAAATGTAAATGCGATGTCGAAAGGTGTTTAGAAATTAAATTCCATTATGCGAATGTAATATATTATTAATAGGCAATTCGCTCCGGATTCGCACGGGAGATTTCTAGATAATGGATAAAAGCGCCACTTACCTGGTCCTATTTTGAATTTAAGCCATTCAGGGACCGAATCAACACCCAAAAATTATCAAAATCGGTCATTTTTGAGTTTTTTCGACACTAACGGAGAGCAATTGATTTTTATATACAGATTGTCCCAAAAAATTGATTATACTACAGCGCCTAATAGTACAGGTATCAGGCGTTCAAATAAAAATACCAAAAAAAAATCGAAAAAGTGGTGCCAAAAACATGAAGGTTTAAAAAATGTTTTTAGTGACCTTACTGTACTTTCATGTACACCACTGCCGCAAATTAATGAAATTCGTTGCGTTTTGGTGTTATATTATTTATCACAGACGATTATATTAATAATTTGGTAAAGACTATAAGGATCTACTATATTTTTGCAAAAAAAAAAACTTCAATTTTTAGCATGAAATTTTATAAAAAAATAATTTTGACAAAAGTTTGAGAGCCAGTCGTGAAAAAAAGTATGAAGACCTAAATGGCTAACTATTTAAAAAATATGCGCAGTTAATTCAGTTTACGAAATGGTATAATACATAATTTAATTTTATGTAAAGGTGTAAAAAGAATAAATTCGACTGAAGAAAGAAAAAAATAATCTTGTCTTAAATTGTCATAATAAAAACGTTAAGTTGTACATAAATCAACGTTTATTTCATAACAGATGTTCAAATTGTCTGCCACCCACTCTGATACAAGCTAAACATCTTCTCTTTCTTATAAATAAATACGCTTCTAAGAAGCCGAGCGTAGCGCCGTTCAGTTATTTTTGAAGCGTCCTCCTGCACATGACTGCGCAATTCCTTCAAACTTGAAATAGGCTTGAAGTACACCTGTTCTTTTAGACAGCCTCAGTAAAAAAATCTAGTGGATTTAAGTCCGGGGATTGCGGAGCCCACAAAATGGGACCTAAACGACCAATCCGTTTATTTGGTTACGTCACATTTAATGATTTGATGAATTTTTTTTGCAAAAATATATAATAATTACTCGTACTCTTTACTTCATTACTTATAGAATCATCTATGAGGAGTGAGAGTTTTCTCACTCCTCATTGCGTTGCGTTTTTGGTAAACACCAATAGTCCAGTCAAATTAGTCCTTAAAATAGAGGTAAGGTTACAATAATTCCCATAGAGCTAAAAATTGGTATGAATGTTCAGAATACCATTATAAATGAATTGTGAAAAGTCCCCATCAATCCCCCTTGTGCAAAAAATTTTATTGATGGTGAAAGTTTGCAAAAATAGGTTTTTCGCGTTTTTCAGCTAAACGGTGAGTTTTACAGCAAAAATAGTTCAGACAAAAATTGTAGATCATCCGATTCTCTACAAAAAATGTATCTACACTTTTTTTCATAAGTATTGCCATTTCCGTGATATAGCGGTTGAAAGAATTGAAAAAAAATATTTTATTCGTAATATGCACGTTAATGTACTTTTATATACATTTTTAAACCGATATATGAGTAAATACATGAGTCCCTATGTCTTATACATACAAATTATAAAATTCTTAGAATATAAATGAACGTCAAAAACTCCCCTATTTTCATTTAGTCGCATGGCCTTGAGTAACATCTGTCTTCCATTCAATTGTCAGCGTGGCGATGCGACACAACAGATCAGCATGTTGATGCAAGTGATTCTCGAATGAAGAAAGATTCTCAAGACATACAAAGCCTCCTAGAGTGGTTTTCTTTACATGATCCTTTTCCAGAAGTCAACAGAATTGTATCTATTGCCAGTGGAATTGTTGGTGATGACAAAATTAATTGTCATAAAGCTCGTGAAGTTGGAATTGCTTGCATGTCAAAAATAACAGGATTGACGTTTGATAACATTAAATTGAAACGTGCTGATAAAGTAGTCCCTCTTTTAGCTATGAGTAGCACTGTCAAAGTTCACGATAAGAAGATTCCTGTTGACCCTGTATTATTATTTCAACGTATGAGTATTACGACTGCTTTGGAAGATGAAATTGAAAAATATTTCGAATATGAATTGGCTCCCTACCCATTGTCAATATTTGATGAAATTGGAATGCGTAAAACACAAAAGTCAGCCATTTACGATTGTTTTCAAACAGTAATATTAGATATTGACAATATAAATTCTACGTTCATCATCGACGGGGGATTTCTGTTACACCGAGTTGTCTGGGACCATGAAGAAACATTTCATAATATTTTAGACAAATATGTTCAGTATGTACGTAGACATTTTGGCCATAGAGTGACTGTATTATTTGATGGTTACACCGATTGTAAAAAAAATATCAAAGCCGCAGAACAACGACGTCGAGCTACAACAACATCTTCATCTTCTGATGTTATTTTTGATGAAATTATGACAGTTCCCACAAGCAAACAAAAATTTCTTGCAAATACCCACAACAAGTCTCGGTTTATTTTAATGTTAAAAGAAAAATTTACTACTGAAAATATTCTTGTAAAACAAGCTGAAAATGATGCTGATGTTCTGATCATTGAAACAGCAATAGAACAATTCAACTCAACAAATACAACTATTGTTGTTGGTGAAGATGTCGATTTATTAGCATTACTTACTGCTCGAACTCCAACAGAAAAAATTATTTATTTTTTTAAACCGGGAAAGCAGCAATCGGAAATATATACATCAAAAAGTCTCTGTGCTTTTCCAAAATGCCAAAATCATATACTTTTTCTACACGCAATAACTGGCTGCGATACAACATCAGCATTTTTCAAGAGGAGCAAAACAACGGTTTTGAAATTGTTCGAGAAACAAAATTTAATTAATTGTGCTGAAGTTTTTAAAGATAGTGACTCTACTCCAGAAGTTATAATCACTAATGGAATTCGCTTTCTTCTTTCTATGTACGGAGCTCCAAAAAAAATTACCTGCTTGGATAAGCTCCGATACTTATCTTTTGCAAAAAAAACTTATAATAAAAAACAAGTGCAATTAGCTTGTCTTCCCCCAACCTCTGCTGCTGCTCAACAACATCTATTCCGGGTATATTATCAAGTTCAAGTGTGGCTTGGTAATAAAATGGATCCAGAAGACTGGGGTTGGAAGTTAGTTGACAATGCATTGGAACCAATTCATACGTTACTCCCACCTGCACCAGAAAAACTCCTTAACACCATCTTTTGCAATTGCAAAAAAGGTTGCAATGCTAAATGCGGCTGTAAAAAGGTTGGACTGTTTTGTTCTTTAGCATGCTCCAATTGTCAAGAACAGTCGTGCTCCAATGTTGAATCGATACTAGATGAGGATAATTACGATATCAGTGATGAGACACATGATGCATCACTTTTAGAACATATTTGTATCCAGCAGGAAGATGAGGAAAAAGAAGATGAAGAAGAAAACGAAGACAATATACTAGAAGTTCCATTGGATTATTATGAATCCGATGAATAATTTTTCCAAATTATTTTTTCATTTATTTATTACATAATTTACGCAGCTTTCATCATTTTCAATACTCCATTTGCATTCAATAGGATCATAATAGATCGTGGAATAGGCCTACCGGGGAAACCACGTTAAAAAAAAAGCGCCAAGCACACTACCTCATAGGTGGTGTGGAAACGTGTGCATATTACGAATAAAATATTTTTTTCAATTCTTTCAACCGCTATATCACGGAAATGGCAATACTTATGAAAAAAAGTGTAGATACATTTTTTGTAGAGAATCGGATGATCTACAATTTTTGTCTGAACTATTTTTGCTGTAAAACTCACCGTTTAGCTGAAAAACGCGAAAAACCTATTTTTGCAAACTTTCACCATCAATAAAATTTTTTGCACAAGGGGGATTGATGGGGACTTTTCACAATTCATTTATAATGGTATTCTGAACATTCATACCAATTTTTAGCTCTATGGGAATTATTGTAACCTTCAAAGTCTTATTTGACTGGACTAAACGAATTTCATTAATTCGCAGCGGTGGTGTACATGAAAGGATATTTTTTTAAAACATTCATATTTTTGACACCACTAGGCATATTTTTTTGTACTTTTATTTGACCTGTGTTATTAGGAACCCCAGGATTATCCATTCTTCCCGGGACAGCCGATATGTAGATACCGAATCAAATCAAATAGTTTATTTGTGATTCACAGGTTATAAAAGGTCTTAATTAAATACAAATAAAGTTCAGTCTTAGTTTCAGTCTCTTTAGATATATAAATAACTAAAACTATAGAAAAATAATATAAAAGCTAACAATAGTTAAGTACTAGAATAACTAAAAACACATAGCATTTAAGCAAACATAAAAGTTTAGTTTTTATCCTTTTCTAAATTGTAAGTAGATAGCCAAAACATAGGTTAAGGATAATCGAAGTCAGAGTATCTAAAGTTACGTATAGTTTTTACTTAAAACACCAATCCATAATCCAGAACGCAGGTTCTAAATTTTTTATGTTTGTAGTATTCCTATTTTATAATTATACTAATACATGGTGTTTTCTAAATACATAGTAACGCCAATTTTCTTATATATACAGTAAAGAACCATTACCTTGCACTTCGCTCCCACACTAGTCATTTAATATAATATAATACAATATAATATAATATATATGTAGTATATTGATTGCATTTAGTTAAATGATTAAATATATATTTTATATATATATATGTGTGTGTGTATATGTATATATATTTATATGTATGTATATATATTTATTTATATAAAATATGTATTCTTTTTTATCACACTTCTCCTGTGTATTCTCTGTGTATTCCCACTGTGTACTTCTCCAGACAAATTGTATAAAAGTCATTTCGTTTTTTAAAGTTGTATTTCAATCTCCAATCAGAATGTAAGTTGTCATCATTAGAATATGTGCAAAATGTTTCCTTATGATGATAAATATAGAGCTTTAAAACTGTTAACATTAATCCTTAATGTATAAAACGTTTTATAACTATAATGAGTATTTTTTAATCAATTTTATTATAAGAGCTCAAAACAGCACAATATTATTAAAACTATTGATGTTCTAGATAAAAATTAAGACAGTAAAATCATGCAAATATATCAATCCCTTAAATACAAAAGGTTTTGTATTTACAGAATCACATAAAGTCGGCCTATTTCATACAAAATATTTGGGTCGATACGGTACCCTTTAACTAGGTCAACGCAAGTGGAGTTTTTGGAGGTTGGTCATTATATGGTATAAAAGTATCATGGCGATTCAAAAACCTGATTGAAGTTTACCAATCTGACTGCCATGATTGATAATTGAATATACATTTGGATGTGTGGATTTTCAGTTAGTTCATGTTTTGTAAAAATTCCCTTACTGGACGTCCTACTTTAGCATAATATCTCCTAGTTTTGAGCGGCTTAGCTTCAGATTCTACTATCTCTAAAGGGACATATGTGTGTATACTATATTTTGCTACTTTTGGAGATATTGTATTTTATATCATATTGTATTTTTTCGTGTCGTATATATCGATGTTTAAGAGTAAAATGAATACTTACTATATATACTACTATTTTCATTGAAATCAATTATGTAGTCAGAACAAACCACATTAGAATAAATTTTATATACACTACATGGTATACCATTATATGGATGAATACTGGCCTTTTAAATATCGGAAACATCGTAAGTTGTATTTTAAAAGTTTGTAATAAATTAAACGTTTTATTACAATTTTTAATAAAGTAATTATCTCTAGTAAAAGAAGTTAAAGAGGTGCAAAGGCCTATTATTACTATCAAATTTAAGCATAAAACTCTAGACAACTTCAACTCAACTGTTTCTTAAGATTTCCGCGGAATAGACAACTCCATTAAATAATTCACGCAGTAAGTTCTTTAACTTTTGACTTAGTTTAGTAAAATTGTAGTTCAATTCTTTAGCAACGTAACTTTGTAAGAAGTTACAGTAAGTAAACGCTCTCACAGAATACTAGCGTAAAATAGCAGCTTAATGCTGTTGTGTTTTGTATGATGAGTGAAGAGAACTTGACACCGTCTTTACCGGAAACGAGTCACTGTGACAAGGCATCTTCATTTTGATTCTTAATTGAAGATAAATGTAGATGTATTTTAGGCCACAGCATCAACTTACCATCAGGTGGACTGCGTGCTCGTTTGTCACACCATTCCATAAAAAAAGAAATTAACCTTCATAATATTTTGTTTAAAAACATTTTTACAATATGGTTGGTATATGCGTTCTATCGCGAATCCTCAAGGTAATTTTGACTAGGGAAGTTTAACCCAATAGATGACAACAGTACAACAGTATCTCAAGTTATTAACGTACCTAAGCAGACGTGGTAGAGCCATGCTGTAGTATAGTTGTAGCACGAATAGGTTGGCTGGACCGGGGAAGGACCACACTCTCACAGAATACCAGCGTAAAATAGTAGCTTAATGCGGCTGGGTTTCGTATGGTGAATGTAGAGAACCGGCGACCCTTTTTACTGGAAACGAGGTATTCCATCTTGGTCCTTATTGGTGACAACGCATCTGCATTTTTATTCGTAATCGAGGATAGATGCAGATGTCTATGGGCCACAGCAACCACTTACCGTCAGGTGGACTGTGCTCTCGTTTGTCACCCTACACTATAAAAAAAACATAATTAAAAAAAAATTAATTAAAAAAAAAAAATTAAAAATTGTTTATTGCGTTTCAAAAGGTAGTAACAAACAAGTGGCAAGGGCCCCTGTACTGGGTTGTTAAACCTGTGTTACGGGGTACCCCGCTCTTCCAACAGATACATTTTAACAATTTGAAACATAGGATATTACATGGACATGAATCGATGAGATTTTTGATACTTAAGAAAGAGTGAAAGTGTGCGTTGTGTGTGTGTGTGTGTGTGTGTGTGTGTGTGTGTGTGTGTGTGTGTGTGTGTGTGTGTGTAAGCGTTTGTGTGTGTGTGTGTGTGTGTGTGTGTGTGTGTGTGTGTGTGTGTGTGTGTGTGTGTGTGTGTGTGAGTTTAGCGAATAAGCAGTTCTGTTTCTTCGTAATTAAGGCTAAGCAGAGTAGTTGTTAGCAAATTTTTTAATTTAGCACAAGTGAGGGGATACATATTAAGCCTACTATTTAATTTATTATATAGATGTTTTGATTGATAGGCGAATTGTTTTTTCTTAAATTTGGTTTTACAATATGGAATCTTGAAAACAGGTAGAATTCTACGTTTTAGTGTCTGGGGGGCAGTGTATGGTAAAGTGCTGTGGGTTCTTATAGCACTCTTTAAGATGTACATTTGGCGGGTTGTTAAGATTTTGTAAGATTTGTGTAGTTCGTGAGTTGAGAAACGGATTGGTTTAAAGAACATCACTTTCAGTAATGCTCTCTGAGCCCTTTCAAGAGTTATTAAATAGGACTTAGCTGCTCCACCCCAAGCTGTAATGCAGTAGCTTAAGACAGATTGGGCTAGAGCTTTATACGTACATATAAGGATTTTATTATCTGCGACATGTCTGAGCCTTCTAAAAACCCACATAAGCTTTCTTACCTTGTCGATGGTACACTCAATTTGTTTGTTCCATATAAGATGCTGGTCAATAGTGATACCCAGATATTTAATAGTAGACGATCTAGCAATATCAACACATTGACAGCTTTTCACCTGGTGTTGGGAGCAGCTATGAATTTTGAGAGCAAAGTCCGAGCGTGGTAAGGTAGATTTTCGTATCGTAAAAGGAACAAATTGGGTTTTTAATACATTAAGTGTTAATAGATGTGATCTTAAGTAATTTGATATATGTCGTAATCCTGATTCAGTCGTAATTCTAAGAGAATCCCAACTCTTTTCACTGAAGATCAGCGCGGTATCATCCGCATAAGTAAATATATCGCTTTTAGCGAAAGGTTTTCTTTCATTTCACGAATAAAAATTTACTTTGAAGGATATTTGCCGGTCTTATTCTTGCCAAAAACTACATATCAAACATTGTCTTTTAAAGAGTTATAGTTGTTTTTAATTTCATTCATTCGCAAACTATAAATTCTATTATATGAACGCTTTTGTACAAAAAGTACCGCGGATGTAATGAATCTAAGTTAAATACTGCCGAAATTTACATAGATGGTAGATTGTTACACTTTGGCCGATTATATCTTTATTCTACCGTAATATCTTAAGCGGCTTACATAAATTTTAAAGTACACGCGAAGTCATTGGCAAAGCTTCTCTTTGTGAAAACATTGAAAGAAGCGAACTTTAGAGATATAAGAACATATTTTCCCCTAACTTTCAGTTCACCTGCAATAAATTAACACTTTGTGTGACGTATGAGGGGCTGATAACAAACTAATACTAAAATAATGATTATATACATTTTCGTCTACCTAGACACAAAAAAGACGTGTAACTGTGCAGCAGTTTATGTTTGGGCGGATTTTTCAATGCTGTGGTAAAATTTAT